GTGACAAAACGTCGGCATGTTACGCCTCGGGAGTGAGACCGGGCTGGCCAAGGGGTTCACTGGTGGAAGTTAACTTTGATGTAACTACCAAAAATCTTAAACAACAGAAACCTTTGCTTCATGAAGACTGTCTGAAGCCTTACACACAGGCTTCCTAGACATGCAGAGCACCAAAACAGGTAACGCAAACTAAGTCAACCCTCTTGTTGATTTGGAGACTAGGAGAGGGGATGGTGGCCAAAAGCCCAGAGCTCATAGACAGGTGAAGGTTTCTGTTATGTTTGTTTAGCATAGAACTCTGGACAGTGTCACAACCAATATGGCAAGACCACCAACAAGAAGAAGAGACTGTCCCACATTTACACTCCAGTTTATATCTCAAACAGCCTGGTCCTGCAAAAGTAGCACTTGATTAGTACCTAATAGTACTCTGAAGTTGTCATATAGGAGGTTACTCCTAACCTATGTTTTCAAGAAAGTCTAAATGGATTTTTATTTTAATGTGAATATTTTTTGATGTAGATTAGTTAAAACGATTACTTTCTTTGTTTCCCTAACTGCTAAGACTTAAGCCTATTGTTAGAGTAAGGGTTAGGATTGGGGTTGGAGTCATCGCCAGACTTAATCCTCAGTGGGTAAAAGCTGAGTTCACACGTGTCACTTCAGGTATTTGCAAATTAAGAAAAAAGAAACGATATCATTCATTTGTAATTTTGCTTTTGTGCTAATGCTAGTTTTGTCGTGCTTCTTTAATGGACTGACAAGAAAATGGTTGTTCTATTTCTCCTATGAAGCTATAAAGAAGGGGATGTGCAACTCAAACACTCCTCCTTGGAATAAACCAGTAATACTGTGAGTCTGAAGCCAAGGAACAGTATGGTGCCCCACAGCACTGACAGCAGTCTGGGTACAAAAACAAATAAAAATAAGATACTTTCTGCTTCTTCACTACATAAAATAATCAGTTGGAAAATAGTCAGCACAGCAAGAAAAGGAAAATCCAGATTTAATACGACTGCCACAGTGACTCCATCCCTCTCTCTCTTTCTGTCTCCCCCTCAGCAAAGGTATCATTATCCACTTAATTTCATACACTAGGGGCTGGTATAATGACCACGTTCAAAATCCCTTATCGAGCAGAAATTCAAGCTTAATCACAAATTATGTGAGTTCCAAAGTATCAAGTTAGTGAAACAAAAGAATATCTTATTTAAAGGGGAAAGGGAAAGAATAAAGTTGAGGCATAGAGGGAAAAGCAGCAGAGACTTACAGCTCGGTATTTAGTGGCCACCTCATTCTTTTCCTTGTTAAGCTGGGTGTTCTGCTCCTCCAGTTCACGGACCTTGGAAAGGAGCCGGTCACTCTGCTCTATGGCTCTCCTGAGCTCCTCTCTCTCCCTCATCCCTGCTTCCTCTGTATGAACGGCTGCAAAAACAGGGACCTGACCCGCAACACCACTCACACACATCTGCAAATACACGCATGCATACAGAAGGCTTGGTATTTCAGCTAGGCTGTCTGGCGCTCTCACTGAGTCTCTCTCACTTTTGTTCACTGCTGTCTGGCCTTCCCCACTCCCCAACTCCTCCAAATCCACATCTGACACACACACAAGCCCACACGTCAGGGAGTTTTGCCCTGTAAAAGACATCCAAGAATCCACCAGTATGAGCCCACGTTTTCTCCCCTTTTACCTAACTGGCCTCCTGCTGGTTTGCACTGCAACAATAAAAACTAACAACTGTGCTGCTGGAAGTAAGTAAGAAATCAAGCAAGAGGTCAGCTTTCTATCATAAGACTGGTAACTCTGGATCTCCTGCTGGTGGGGGTTTTATAATAGGTCTTCTCAAAATGCAGGCCATGTTTTTGATTAATGTACACCACATTTCAAGATGTCCTCAGGATTTGAATCAGTGTATGCCAAAGACTAAAGCAGAGCTGGAGGAGTCTAAAACAAAGCTGAAGCCAGCAACTTATCTAGTCACTGATAGAGTGGCAGTGAAATAAGAAAAAAGACTAGTTTTTCACCATAAAATCCCAGCTAGCCTACACTGTATGGCCACAAATAAGCTACATAACCATGTACCCAGCCCATGAATATCAGTTTTTGTGCCGATATTAATGCTAGGAAAGAATTTGAACTCTGCAGTTAGCAGCAGAGCACCAAGGCGCCTTATCATAAGCAACCCCACTCCATAGCTTCACATGTTCTTCTGCAGTTGCTGCAGTTACTAAACCCTTCTGCTTTACAACCTGGTCTTTAATTCTGACCTCATTAGCCGTTTCCAGGTCCAAACTCTGCTTCAGGTCCCAAAGCCAAAGGAACACTGCAGCATCACTGAGAGTTAAAAACTGTCTAAATCCTTTTGTCTTTAATAAAATGGTCAGTGTGGCTGCTCTACCAGGTGTAACATTGAAGTCTAACATCCATGAAAACAGAATTTATTAAATTTAACAGAGTTAGCTCGCTAGCTTCCATCTGAAGATGATACACCATCTGTCTGGGTCAACTTCGCTTGCAAGAGAGGCGTTGAAAGGCTGCTCCAAAGGAACTTATTGTTTCTGGAGGAAAACACGAACACGGTGTACAGTCGAGTCTTAATAGCTTACTTACAACTGGGCTCGTCAGGCACTCTTCTTGGCTGCAGTGGTTATTATTATATTTACATGCTTCCAGCTCCCGTTTTTGCTCAATGACAGCTCGTACTTTTCCTTTTTCTCCCTCCCTCGCTCACAGACACATAACGGGTATGGCAGTCCATTCTCCCTGCAGCACGGACTACACTGCCTATGATGCTACATTCTTTAGAGCTATACCGGTAGCATTCTGCCTATTAGCTTAGCACAACAACAACAAAAAGGCCTCTCTCACCCAGGAAACACGCAGAGAGAGAGCGTCACCCTGTAACCATGGCAACCGTAACGCTGCCACTTGGAACAACAGAACGTAGCTGTCAAACAAAACCCAAACAGGCCTGACCCGCCACAATATGAAACAGGGAAGTACCGCCGTGTAATCCATTTATTTCAACAAAGTAACTGTATTCTAAATACCACCTTTTTAAACGGTAACTGTAACGGAATACAGTTACTCATATTTTGTATTTTAAATACGTAACGGCGGTACATGTATTCCGTTACTCCCCAACACTGTTTGTAAGGTTACTGAAGTTGGGCTAGCTGGTATATAATGATGTGGTGACTAGCTACACAGCTATGGTTAGCATAACAGAAACACAGTGAGGCTGGAGGATGAATGCTAACTTTTTTCCACTTGATAAAAGTTAACGATGGTTAGGGACAAATGCAATCACATGGCAGGAAAAAGATTTTTAAACGGACCAAACGTCAGTCAGGAGAACAGCTGAGATAATCCATCCACATGCTCAACCCTGCTGCTTAACACACAGATGCATTTTCCTTACAAATGTGGCACTATTTAGGGGAAATAAACAGGTTTCCATTAGAGTTATTATAGTTTTTAATGTCGAATTATTTTTTATATTTATATTTATATTTATTTTAATGTTTCTTTTAATTCAGTTTAATTTTAGTTAGTGTCCAGAGTGAGTTTGCTCACTTTGCTCACTCACGTTTTACTTTTTTGTCAAAGGTCTGCTTATAATAACCAGTACCCTTGCTTTCCAATGGTGTGAGAGTTATTTCCAAGAAGCATGGACAAATAATCAACCAAACACACATTTTCATACTTTTGTGCTAAGTTTAGATAACCATTAGGATGTTGCTTTCTGCTGTAGCAAATGTGACCTTGAAATAGAAGCATGGAATTTCTGAACCCTCTGATTATGAACAATAGTATTTGTCTATACTGCAAATAGAAATGTCAGCTGTTCTGCACTGAATTCTTAGACAGGGTATTTTAACACAATAAAGACCCGCATTAAATGTATTGCAGGAAATGGTTTCAATTTCACACAAAATGCACTATCCAAAGCAACAGACCGGCTGTCTGCTGCATGCATTTCAACTTTCTGCCAGAATATATATATTTTCTTTTATTTTCTCTGCTCACCTAACAAGATTCTGCAAGTAATTCTGGCATAACTTCTAAAAGAAACAAGAAGTGGATCCGGAATAAAACAATGTCATTATCCATTGAAGAAGGTGTCAAAAAGCATATGCTGTGTTACTGTACAGAAAGGCAGGCTCGCACATACACACACACACACACATGCACAAAAACCTGTTGCTGCTTGAGTGCTGGTATCGGAAAAAGAGCTGTCATTAGTTGGGCTGTCAGAGATCTGACAGCCAGTTCACTGCTCATGCCTGACAAACTGTACAGGTCGTCAGCAGGGAAAGTAGTAAGGGCATTATCATCTTTCTTAAAGTGTGTGCCGATAATTACCATGTTGTCCAAACACGGTTTAGCACATATGTATCACCTGACACACCTGAACTTCCTTTTGCCTGTAGTCAGATTAAACACACAATACCTTCACCTGTCAGTGCGGGACTTAATGTCTCACTTAGCTTCAATCTGCACGCCGATGCCAGAAAAAGAAGAGGAAGACAAATATGACACATCAATGGTTCACCTTTAGCATGATCACAGGGTTTAACCCCTTATGCCAGCACCACTGTTGATATTGCACAAATAAAGTAGTCTCTTTATTGCAGCGCATTCCC